TTCAAGGTCTACATTTATTTTTTCCCAGTCAATCCTCTTATTGTTGAAATTGAATTGATTGAATATTCCTTCTCGCTTGTTGGGTCTCTTAGACCTCTACCGTTATTTATGCTAGTTCGCACTTCAATGAGCTTATGGTCTGAGTATGAAGTATCTGAGATTGTGATGTCTCTGATTAGTTCATCATTGTTTGTGAATAACAAGTCTAGTGTGTTTTCGTTCCTAGTTGGTTCTTTAATCTGTTGATTGAGCGAGAATTTGTCACAGAATCTCAAAAGTTCTCTGACCTGTGGTTGGTTATTTCCCGGGTCATTCCCTGGTATAATATTTGTGTTTGCCATTCTCCATCTTAGACTCGGTAAATTGAAATCTCCAAGGAAGATAATATCTGGAGCTGGGTTTGCTAGGTTATCAAGTATGTTCTCTATTTTGTGCATCTGCTCTGTGAATTCCTCAACCGTTGTATCTGGCGGTTTATATATTAGAATAATAATTAGGTTTAGTTTCTCTACCTTAATTCCAAGTACCTCTACCACCTCATTAGTTGAGTTTAGTAGTTCTGTGCATACCAGGTCTTCTTTAATATACAGACCTACTCCTCCATTTGACCTAGTTTTTCTATCACATCTATATAAATTATAATTTAGAATCCAGATTTCACCATCTATGTAATCTTTTGTATGAGTTTCCGTGAATGCCCCAAATATTGAGTTTGACTCTAATAGGAGGCCATTTATGAACTTAACTTTATTTCTTGACTTTGGCTTTAAACCTTGAATGTTTGCAAATATGAATTACAGTGCATATCGTTGACAAATTTGTTGTACTGCCTAGCTAGTTCAACAACCTGAGTACCATTTTCATGTTTATGAATGCCCTCTTGTTTTTCCTCTATGGTCAATCTCACATGTGTTTTCTTGTCTTGAACCTTACCACTGACTTTCTTGAGACCCATGACAAGATATATAATAATAACTTTTATGTTCAAATACCCAAAAATACGAAAAACATTGAAATTCTTTACAAAGAATTCAGGCACGATTGTCACTAGGCGGTAGGCACTGGTAAACTGAGGTGCGATCGCCGTGCCACCACGCACTAGGGTGGCCATACGCGTATCAACAAACTCATTTCCCGAAGCAAAGCTCGTAACCCGATTCAAATTTTAAGAAGAAATCGGGTTTATAACCCGAAAAGTTCGTAAAGAGGGGCATTCATAAGACGTGGTGTCACTATACAGGGAAGGCTTATCTACATACAGTGGAACCTCGACTTACTATTGCCCCGACTTACGATGATTTTGAGTTACTATGTAAATTTGATAGAAAAATATGACTCAATTTACGATAGAGTAGTCGACTAACTATATTTGTTAACACACACTACCCGTTAGCATGATGGCAGGGAGGGAGGCAGGCTGGCTGGAAAGGAAGCAGGCTGGCAGGCTGGGAAGGAGGCAGGCTGGGAAGGAGGCAGGCAGGCAGGCTGGGAAGGAGGCAGGCAGGCAGGCTGGGAAGGAGGCAGGCAGGCAGGCTGGGAAGGAGGCAGGCTGGGAAGGAGGCAGACTGGCAGGCAGGGAAGGAGGCAGGCTGGCAGGCTGGGAAGGAGGCAGGCTGGGAAGGAAGCAGGCTGGCAGGCTGGGAAGGAGGCAGGCTGGGAAGGAGGCAGGCTGGGAAGGAGGCAGGCTGGCAGGCTGGGAAGGAGGCAGGCTGGCAGGCTGGGACGGAGGCAGGCTGGCAGGCAGGGAGGGAGGCAGGCTGGCAGGCTGGGAAGGAGGCAGGCTGGCAGGCTGGGAAGGAGGCAGGCTGGGAAGGAAGCAGGCTGGGAAGGAGGCAGGCTGGGAAGGAGGTAGGCTGAGAAGGCAGGCAGGCAAGCTGGGAAGGAAGCAGGCTGGCAGGCTGGGAAGGAGGCAGGCTGGGAAGGAGGCAGGCTGGGAAGGACGCAGGCTGGCAGGCTGGGAAGGAGGCAGGCTGGGAAGCAGGGAGGCTGGCAGGCTGGGAAGGAGGCAGGCAGGCAGGCTGGGAAGGAGGCAGGCTGGGAAGGAAGCAGGCTGGCAGGCTGGGAAGGAGGCAGGCTGGGAAGGAGGCAGGCTGGGAAGGAAGCAGGCTGGGAAGGAAGCAGGCTGGCAGGCTGGGAAGGAGGCAGGCTGGGAAGGAGGCAGGCAGGCAGGCAGGCTGGGAAGGAGGCAGGCAGGCAGGCTGGGAAGGAGGCAGGCTGGGAAGGAGGCAGACTGGCAGGCTGGGAAGGAGGCAGGCTGGCAGGCAGGGAAGGAGGCAGGCTGGGAAGGAGGCAGGCTGGGAAGGAAGCAGGCTGGCAGGCTGGGAAGGAGGGGTACACGTTTGGGTCAATCGAGCGCATGGTTCCCGGTCACGTGGGCCAACTGCCTCAGTTTACTAGAGCTGCCCATTTAGTGACGATCACGCCTATAAGAAATTCCATTTTTGTGGTGATTTTTTGCTTTTTGAACATAAAACTGATTATTATATATCATGCCATGGGTCCCAAGAAAGTCAGTGGTAAGGTTCAACATAAGATAATAGTTGTGAGTAGAGGCAGTAGAGGACGTCCCTTCCTTATTAAGAAAATGTGTGAAGTATGGGAAGAACAGCAAAGTTTTGTTGAAAAAACTCACCCAGATAAAGCTGTAGCAGGCCATTGCATTGACCTTTAAATGACAATGTGATGTCTTACTACAGACAAGTGTTAAATGTAGGGGAAATAATAGCAGGTCCTAGTGGTATGCAGGCAAAACATGCCAGAGTGTGTATCCCAGAAAAGTCATCACTGCCTGATGTTATAATGGAAGCGGACTCCTCTTTCAAACAGTAACACCTCTCCTCCTCCTCCCCCCTCATCACCATCTTCCATACGCCATCAAGAGACCTCCATAAAGGTAAGATAAACATATAAACTGTATTGTAGTTAGAGAAAATAATTGTATTCAGTATAAAATGCATTTGTAAGTTAATATTTTGGAGGGTGGGGAACTGATTAATTCAATTCTCTATTTCTTATGGGAAAAATCGCTTCGACTTACGATACGTCTCTGGGAACGGATTACCATCGTAAATCGAGGGCCCCACTGTAGTTGTTTATGGCCGGGTCAACCAGATATGAATGCGGATGATCGCAAGTCATGTGTTGTACTAGGTAGTAGATTGTTAATTCTTTTTCCCCTTTAATTTCACATATCAAAAAAGGGAGGCCATGCAATAATAATCGTAGCCAATATATGACAGCTATATCAGAGGAAATTAATATGATTAATTATTAATTTATATTTACCCCTTTGGGTGGCTCGACATGTGTCCTAACCAGAATAACCTAGTCTATATTACTAGCCAGAAATAGATAAATTTAACAGGTTATCGGTTATAGAACACTGCCCTTATTGTTGACAAAGATCGTGCTGATGATGGGAGCTGTTTACACCCCACAACAGTGAGTCTAGAGGGAAAATCTGCAGAGCTTCAAACGAGCTCCTAGTGAGACTTTGTTGTTAAATTAATGACGTCTGCCCCTCTCCCCTTCTCACGCATCCAGCATATTCTTCAGAGGAGTTTTATCAAGAAGTGGAAAGAGGGTTCATATTTAATCTATTTTAGTAATGATAATTAAGTTGGTTCTGGATTAATGTTTTTATAATGTTTACAGTCCAGAGACTGATGTTTTAAGATGAATTCACATTATTCTTTGGTTGGTGAATTTAATGGTGAAGTGGCAATGATATCCCACTTTTCTTGGGTAAAATGCTACAACAATCTCATTTTTTGGGGTGAACAACTAAGATATTTTGGGTTAATTTATTGGTACAAAATCAGCAGCAATATTATCTGCCAATTGTATTAAAGGTTAACACTTTCGCGCTCCGTAGAAACTCGCGGTTGACTGGGGGATCGTGGCCCCTCCGTGCGGGTAAGCGCGCGGTGACACCCAAATGTGTATACTCATTCCAGTTTTCTCACCTTAATTCTCGCGCTACGTCGCTCGTTTTGGTATCATTGTGTTCGCAATTAAATTCTCTACAGCTGTGTTTAAATATAATGTCCAAAAGCCTAGCGTGACTCCCAACAGCAAAGCGTAAAGTCGGCAAAAACGCACAAAATCAGTAACATGTGCATTCTCGTTCCATTTTTTTACCTTAATTCTCGTGCTACGTCGCTCATTTTGGTATCATTGTGTTCGCAATTAAATTCCCTACAGATGTGTATGAATAAAATGTACAAAAGGCTGGAGTGCCTCCCCGCAGAAAAGCCTAAAGTTACCCATGAACGAGCACCATTTTGTACATTGCAACCTAATGTTCAACTCGTTCAATTTGATAACATCAAATTTCGTGCTACGTCGCTCGTTTTGGTATCAAATTGTTCGCAATAAAAAGGCGATTATTTTAAAACTAGTCCCAGAATAATAGAGCAATAACTGGATTTTTAACAAATATTTTAATTCTGGACGCTAATCATCACAAATTTATTTATATCTTTCCAGTGTTCTGACATAAATATTTGTCTCACATCTTTCATTTTGGTATCAAATTGTTCGCAATAAAAAGGCGCACATTTTAAAACAAGTCCCAAGATAATAGGACAATAAATAGAATTTTAACAAATATTTTAATATTCAGACCATAGACCTATTTATAATATTTCAAGTGTTTGGACATCAAGTTTCATGTTATATCTTTGATTTTGGTATCAAATTGTGTGCAATCTAAAGGCGCTTATTTTAAAACCACTACCAGATTGATCTGATAAAATTTAAATTTTTAAAAAATATTGTAATGAGTGACGCAGTATTGCGTCGTTGGAACACATTCAGTAGAAAAATAAATGACGAATTATTCAGTCTGTGGAACGCGAAAGTGTTAATAAATGGTGTCAGTTTTTCCGACACTGCTCTCGACAATTACCGAGTGCAGAATCGTGATCAGTGATCGTGATCAGAATAAGGTCTGATTCTCAGAAATTTATGCATGGTGTAAAACCAAGAGAGTAACTTACCCTCACCAGGAGGAGGAGGAGTGAGTGAAGACCAAACAGAAGATGACCTTGAAAGTTGTCATCATCATGAAATGACAGAGTTACATTCTGAAGGATCATCTCTAAACCCCATGACTCAAGCACACCATCTGCTGAAGCCTGAAATAAAAGTCTCAAATTGTAGTTTTAAAATTTTGCATGAAGAGTCTCTTATACAGTGACTAGTCTAGAAGAGTCTGGGATTCACCATCAGATCTGTCGTTATTGCATCACATAGAAATCAACATGAGCAATACAATTTGGATTTCAATGCACAAAAAATTGCGTAGCTTATGAAATGACATCAACCCAACTTATATGATATTAAACTAAACATGACTTTCAATTTGGGAAGAAAGTGCTACTTAAAGGATGATGTCATAGAGGTGACATCATCTTTATGGACCATGAAGGATGGTGGTTCATGGACCACTGGGCCAGGGACAGCATGAACCCATGGAAAAAAACCAACAGTGAATGTAATGAAACGCCATTTTCTGGGTGAGCCCCGTAGGCTTCCTGGAGCTATCAGGCTAATATGCGATACATTAGACCAGGGCATTAGTCAATGGAGTTCAGCCTACCGGGGACCACGAGCCAGAACGTGGCCACCTCAGAGAGGTGCAGGGAACAATGGCCTTGGAAAACCTCTGTGATTGGGGGTTTACCTTATCTGCCATCGACCGGAGTTAGGCACCCAGAAAGATAGGCATAACAAAACAGACCACACAAGGCGAGAAAAATGCAAACGAAAGCCGAACTAAGAGGTAGAACTCCCTTAACCACTGTGATGCGCCGAGTTTATTGTGACATTCCCCCTGTGCGCATAAAATCAAGTGTTCCCAAAAAATTCTTTCTTGTTTGTAAAATAATAAATTCCCTTCCCTGTTCATGTCTATGTAAAACTAAATACCAAATTCCACTTACTTTGGCTGTGGAGACATGGATAAGGTGTGCTGTGACATCATCAGGGGCTGGTCGCTTGTACATGAAGCTCCCAGAGGCGGTCATGCAGGCCATTCAAGCATCGCAATTTGCCACAAATATATAAATATATTTTCAATTATTTGTTCTATGCATTTCCAATGCGGGGTTTCATTTGTTTTTTATCGTATATGATGCATATTTGTGTCCTTTACTATATGTATACAATAGAACGTTCATAATGTTCCATGGAACTGTAATACGTGTGTCAGTAATGTGTGTCCACAATAAATGTTTATTGTTGCAATATTGTCAAAAATTCACTAAAATTACAATATGTACAGTTTCACACACTATTTATACAGTAACACACTCAGTACTTTGGAAAAGAGTAATAATCAACAAAGTAGTCCATGGTACACAGCACGACTTCGCTCTCGTTGCACCAGGTACAGATAGACTTTCGCTTCCTGTTACTTCATTCTGTGTGATTCTATGTCTGCCATCGACCAGGCACCCAGCAAGGTAGGCGCCCCAAAACAAACCCCTATTCTGGTGAAAAATTGCTACCGAAAGTCGAATGAGAGGAAAGAATTCCCCAAACGAAAATTAGCAAGTGAGCATGATGTCATCATGCTGCTGCGCCACTGTCTGTGCAACCTGCTCTTCCTGGGAGGCAGAAGAGGGAGCCCCAGACCCTCACGCCAACAATCAACCCACCACTTCTTAGGCTGGCTGTCAAAACTCGCGAAAAACACCACCAAACGGAAGGGAGGGAGGGATGCCGGGGAATCTCCGGGACTCACCCAGAAATTGGTGTTTCATTATATTCAATGCTGGTTTTCTGGGGGAAGCCCCTTCGGTTCCCCAGAGCTACCTCACCAAAAATAAGGAAAAGAGGGAAGGACCCAGGAGGCGGACGCCACGCGCCCGATGACAAAAACAAGACAACAAGTAAAACAAAAAGACTCTGCAGATACCCCGGGAAACCCGAACCCAGCAACAGGAAGGAGGGAAGGGAACCAGGCCAACCCAAAACACAGCCATGGTCAGAGAGGCCAAGATGCGCAGACAACAGCGGAGAGCCACAACCAAACAACACATGATGCACCCCTGGCCTGACCAACCAAGCATCAACAACTCAAGGACCCCTCCAGAAAGCAGCAGACTCATACATTGCCAGAGAAGAAGAAGACGGCTGCAACCGAACAAATCTACGACAAGGACCAAAAGAGCAGAAACCCCTGAGCCGGAGAAGAGCATGAAGATCCCCAACCTGACCTCCAGAGGCCAATGCCAACAGGAAAAAGAGCCGAAGAAAAAACAACCCTGAACCACTACAAACAGTGGAGAAAAGAGAGCACCTGGTCCAAAGAACAGGGCGGTTCAGGCTGCGCATTAGCCGGCCAGAGGTGAAACAATGCACGAGACAGCTGACGAAATGGAGCAGACGTAACAACAATACTGAACACAAGCAGGAGTGGCTCTGCCAGTGCCGCACGATACGAGGCGACAATATGCAGCATAAGATGATGGTCTGAAAACAACCATGATAGGAAGGACAAAACAACCCTATCAGAGACAAGGAAGGCACAGACCCCGATGGCTTCGCAGTCAGGGAATGGCGCCACGAATACCGAGAGAGACATCAACCACACTGACGCGAAGAGGTCCACCTCCAGAGGCCCGAACATCCGGCAGAGCCAACTGAAGGAGTCGGCAAAGACTGTCCACTCCATAGAAGGGATGAAAGCGGGACAGGCTGTCCACCAGGACCACAGACACTCCCCGATGAGAACTGCCAGGAGAGCCAAACCTTGAAACTCAGCAGACGAGTCACCCAAAGTGACAGCCCCAAGCTAAGGACCGCATTGAATCCCCATGGTAAAATAAAAGAACCACTGGGGAACAGTCCAACTGGAGCTGGATCGTCAATCCGCGAGCGACCCAAATACCCCAGAGTGACTTCTACGTAACCGCGAACGTGTCCACTCACAGAGGCCAAAAAGGGGTACCACCAAAAACACAATACAGTACAGTGGTACCTCGGAATACGAGTGTCCCTGAATACGAGTTTTTCGGAATACGAGCAGAATTTGCTCGGAAAATGAGCCTCGGAAGGCGAGGGTTACCTCGGAACACAAGTTTGTTGATACGTGTACAGGCCGACTAGCGCGTGGTGGCACGGCGATCGCGCCTCAGTTTACCAGTGTCTCGTGCCCAGTGACTATCCCACCAGAATTCTTCACAAGGATTTACAGTTTTTTGTCGTTTTTTTGGCCATTTGAGCATAAAAGTTGTCAATATATATCTTGCCATGGGTCTCAAGAAAGCCATTGGTAAGGTTCAACCTAAGAAAATAGCTGTGAATAGAGGCAGTAGAGGATGTCCCTTGATTAAGAAAATGTGTGAAGTATGGGAAGAACTGCAAAGTTTTGTTGAAAAAACTCACCCAGATAAAGCTGTAGCAGGCCGTTGCATTGACCTTTTAAATGATAATGTGATGTCTTACTACAGACAAGTGTTAAAATGTAGGGAAAAACAAGTGTCTTTAGACAAATTCTTAGTAAGACAAGCAAGTCCTAGTGGTATGCAGGCAAAATGTGCCAGAGTGTGCATACCAGTGAAGTCCTCACTGCCTGATGTGATAATGGAAGGGGACTCCCATTCCAAACAGTAACTCCTCTCCTCCTCCTCCCTCCTCACCATCTTCCATACACCTACAGCATTCAACAGCAAGGTAAGTAATAACTTGAACATAGTTTTGTATACAGGGGTACCTCAGTTTAAGAGTTTAATCCGTTCCTGGAGACAGCTCGTATTCCGAAAACTCGTAATCCGAAGCTAATTTCCCCATAAGAAATAATGGGAAATGAATTAATCCATTCCTGACTACCCAAAAACCTCACTTCAAACTAAATTTTATACCTAATTCATCTAAATAAACCTACAAAACTATGTTCAAGTTATTACTTAGCCTTGTTGATGAATGCTGTAGGCATATGGAAGATGGTGAGGAGGGGGGAGGAGGAGAGGAGGAGAGGTGTTACTGTTTGGAAGGAAGGGAGTCCCCTTCCATTATAACATCAGGCAGTGAGGACCTTTCTGGTGTGCACTCCCTGGCACGTTATGCTTGCATACCACTAGGTCCTGGTTGTGGCTCACAGCTCGATTTTCTCACAACAAATCTGTCCATGGAAGCTTGTTTTTCCCTTCTTCGCAAGCTGTCTCTATAGTAAGGCATAACATTGTCATTGAAAAGATTAAGGCAACGGCCTACCACAGCTTTATCTGGGTGAGTCTTTTCAATAAAAGTTTGCTTCTCTTCCCACATCTGACACACCTTCTTAATTTCTGCAGAAGGGACATTCGCTACTGCCTCATCCTCCTCCACTGGAGAAACATCCTCAGCTGGGTCTTCTTGCTGTTCGTTTTGAAGGGCTTGGAGTTCCTCGGTGGTCAGTTCTTCGTTGTGTTCTTCCACCAACTCCTCCACATCATCACCATTCAATTCCAAGCCCATTTGCTGGCCCAGAGTAACAATTTCCTCAACAATAGTTGCATCATTTACAGGTTCAAACCCCTCAAAGTCTAGTTCTCTCACACATTCAGGCCACAATTTTCTCCAGCCAGAAATCAGGGTTCTCTGTGTCACTTCTTGCCAGGCTTTGTCAACAAGTTTTAAAGCACTACAAATGTTAAAATGGTCTTTCCAGAACTCTTTGAGTGTGAGGTTTTTGGCTTGAGTCACTTCAAAACATTTCCGGAGAAGTGCCCTTTCATACAGTTTCTTAAAATTTGCTATGATTTTCTGGTCCATAAGCTGAATTAGAGGAGTGGTGTTAGGAGGAAGGAACCTTATTGTGAGAAATTTACTGTATCTGTGCAACAATTCATCTTACAAGCCTGGAGGATGAGCAGGAGCATTGTCGAGGAGAAGCAGGGCCTTGAGTGGCAAATGTTTCTCCTGCAGATATTTTTCTATGGCAGGGCACAGCACTTCATTCACCCACTCCGAAAAAAAATCCTAGTCACCCATGCCTTATTATTAGCCTTCCACATCACACACACATTTGGTTTTTCTGCACTTTATACTGTTTGAAAACCCTTGGATTTTCAGAATGATACACTAGCAAGGGTTTAATTTTCAAATCGCCACTTACATTTGAACACAGCACAAGCGTAAACCTATCTTT